GGAAAGAGAGACGGGAAGTATCAAGGGTTTGAGAAATATAAATTCTACTCTTTGCTTCTAAAATATTCCAGTTTCTGGGGTATTTTAGATAACAAATCTTAGCTTAAATATATTATCTTTTAGATGACTAAGTTTTAGGCGATAAAATGAACCTTAAGTGTCTCTGAAGAAGGACATTATGACTTCCAATATTGCTTATCAAAGTGAAATGGAATTGAAAGAAGTGAGCATTACTTAAGAAAACCCCAGGTGATGAAGGCAAACCTGAAAGGATAATTTTCTCTGTAAATCAAGCTTCTAAGGTGAAAAGTCTTAAATATAAAGAGATTGGGAGAAAAACAAAGAGGAATTTGTTAGGGCTGAATCAAACAATTATTCCACACATACCTGAGAGCATTCAGAAGTCCTTCCACAGCATCAGGTGGTTGTTCCTTTAAAACTTTTATGCACCCCTTCATCTGGGAACAGAAGCATGCCACTATTGAACAATAATATATAACTAGCTGAAAACAAGGAAAAAATTTCACCATAGACAGGCAGGGTTTTTTCCCTACTGAGTGTTAATGTTACTTTAGATGACAATGTAAAAGCATTATAACTTATTAAAAATTATCTTAAGTTAAAAACCTAACTTTTGAGAAAGTAACATCTACTTTAAATAAGCATTTGTAGATAGTAAATTATATATCAAGTGTATGTATTTAAACTTGCCCATGATTTCTCCAATTCCAACTTAAAAAAATATCAAGAACAGCTGATATAAGCTAAAAAAAGAGATTTTGGAAGAAAGTTCTATGTCATTCCTGTTAGCAGCCATCAGAAGAGATGTTTCAACTTTTACTTTTTTTTATGCTTGCACACAAGGAAGGAATTTTCTGTATTCATTTTCAGTTGTAAACCTAAGTGGTGATAACTTATGATTGTTTCCTAATTAGTGGTTACAAATTTAATCTGAGATAAGAAGTTCATGATGTTGATTTTAAACACCACACTGAATGAACATCTTCGTGGAGACCATAAAAAATAGGCTGAAACTCTGTCGAAATTTACAAAAGGGGAAATGAAGCAGAGAAAGCAGAGGTAGAACTCATTTGACCCACTATACAGACTCTCTATCTAGTCAATAGAGGGAAATAAGATATTCCTCTAACCTATTCAGAATATACTTTCATATGTAATGAATCGTGCTCCAAAAGTATCTGTTTCTTCCCATTGCTATGAAGACATCTAATAGCTATCCAGAAATTAGTTTAGATTAATTCCTTCTTATTTAAAATGACATATAAATACATGGCAGAGTCAAGATTTGAACCTTCTAATTTTCCAAGTCACATTACAGTGCTAAATCTACATGTGAGTATTTTCTTTGCAGCTAAAGAGCAACTCTGCCTTATTATGGGAGTGGATGATGAAATACCTAACTGAAGTCACGGTATACGCATTTGCCAATAAAAATTATTTGGAAAATATAGCTCAGCCTCCCACACAATGACCAGCCTAACAGTTGCTTATCACTGTTCAGTTGGCTCATTTCTACCTGGAAGATTAAACTAGCTTTGCAAATAGCAGATCAGATGAAATTTTCAGGCTAGCAGCACGTTTTGAAGTGACACAGTTACGTTTCCTGAACTAGAGAAACTCAAGACTGTATTCACATCACTCAGTACAGATTTACATGCCCCATCAGATCAGACAAACTCAAAGGGAATAAAAATTCAAACCATTCTTTTTCCATTTTTGTTAGAATCAGAATCCCTAAAACAGTCAAAAAAGAGAAGCTGTTAGAATGTCTAAGCTAGGAGCCTGTAATTAACAGCCTGAAATACAGTCTCCAGTCTTGAAAGAGTAAGGAAAGGGTAATTTGTTGCACTGTCCCTGAAATATTCTTGAAATGGCTCCCAAGAAGTGAGTAGTTTGGAGAAAAGAATTGTTTTACACAGTAAAACAAACTCATCATCTGAAATATTAAAAGATTTTTTTATTAGAGAAGAATCATTAAACTAATTAGGTGAATTAAGATTTGAGACCATGTACTCACTTTCAAAAACTGAATCACACTTCTCCTGCCTCCCATTTACATCTAGCTAACTTTCCTGTAAGATTACAGGCCTTTAGGATAAATGTGAGAAACAAGGTACACACATTGTATGTTTGGTCCTATCAAAATTTTACTTATGTTGTCTTTGTAGGCAAGAGACTGAATTAGCAGTCAGGAAGTCTGCATTTAATTCCCGGGCTCTGTCTGCTGCATGACCTTGAGCAAATCAATTCACCTCTTTGTGACATATCTTTCCCTCTGTAAAACAGAGTCAAAGAGGAGATCTGGTAAAATACTGGTATCTGCAGATGAAAAATGCTAACGAAGACATAGTGTCGTGGGGCGCAATAATACTATATTTTTTTTCTTTTCTTTTGAAGTAGACCCTCTTGTAAAGGAGAAGGCTCAGCATCTTTTTTCATGAATAACAGCTTATTTCTGCTGAAAGACATGGCGCATAACATTTAGGTTTTTAAAAACATGTAGCAAAAGTAAGAGTACTTTTGTGTGTGTGCTTGCAGTATCTCAGATGAAAAAATAAGGTTGATTTCCCTGTGACTGGTCATACCAAAGCTAAAACTGAAGGCTCATTATCAACATTACAACAGTAACATTTCAGTTCTGCTACTTCAGATCTCAGACAAAGCAAAGACAGTGTTGAATATCTGCTTATTTACAACAGAACTACTGCCAAAGATGAGCATTTACCATAAATCAATTACATGATTAATAAAAAATTATGACCATAGCACTTATTCCAGAGTAGGTGTAATACAAAATTATTTTAGTCTAACTCTACAGTTGGCAGGAAAGCAGAGCTAACAATGAAAAAATGAGTATCTATGTCTGGGAGAAAATACAAAGAAAAAAGATTGATCCTTATTTTAACTTCAAACAAGCTGATATATTAACGTACGCAGGTGAAGATAAACTCTATATTTTGCCATTGCAAGTAATTAAAATTATTTCTAGAAAGTCATAGGCTTGTGCTGGAAAAAAACTGCAGCCCAGTATTCTCAAACCTACAGAGTATTAAAGAAAAGTCACTCTTACATCAATCTTTGATGTCTTTGAGAAAGCTCCTACAGGATGAACGTGATCGTACAGAATAATAACTCCCACCATTACTCGCATGCAGAACATAAGGGTCTCTTCACTGGTGAATCTACTCCTGTACTCTCTGGAAAAGAGAACAAAAGAAATACAGTCTTGACTTTTACTGGACAATTTTGCAAACTAGACTATGAGTGCATAAAATCTGAACTAAAATTGCATTTTAAGGTTGAAGATGCACGTTAGTAAGATTTTAAAGATCTTTGAATTGCGTTAAGTCCTTGTCAATTAAGAAGAATGGTTAGAAAGCAAATAGAGATATGTAAACCCCTTTTAATATCCCTTCACAGTTCAGATCCTCACTTCAGCAAAATGTCTATGATGACTGCCTTAGAGAAGACTTCCACAGTTCATGAAATATGATGGAGACTGATTGTACTTATGTTTAATCTTAGAAACACAACATACTGGGACCTCAAAGGAAAGCTACTTTTTTTTTTTTGCTTAAATTCCTACTTTGAAACAGTTAAGTCTGATCTAATTTCAGCAGCTAGTAAATTCAGGGGTTCACCTAGGTGGATCAGAGTCATTGCTCTCTCTCTGTCTTTTCTCAGTCCGTAGGGAACTTCAACAACCCAGGTTCACTGAAGATCTAAAATCTGGAGGCCTACTACACAGGACTGGACTGAACTAATTCCAAAGAATTTTTCTTTGACTTTTCAATTCCAAAATAAGAATATCGATGGCACAGTTAAAACAGCTCCTATCATCTCTAATCTCTGAAATCATCTTCAGGAAAAGAAAAATTAACAGTAAACAGAAATCCTGAAAAACAGAAATTATCACAATTTTTCTAACAACTATTATTTTGAGTAGATAATACGTATATTTGTCTACTGTCATTCACTGATTTTCAATATAAAATTTGATTTTTTCCACTTAAAAATATCATTAAAAAACACTAAAATCTATACTATATTACCTCTCAGTTTACAGTAACTTCAACTTTTTTTCTTACACAGCATCATAACATGAACAGATTTAAAAGCTACAGACATTTTGATATGAAAATGCTTGATTATCCCACAATTAGAACTAAATATCAGATAATGTTCTGGTAGATGACTCACAAATTTCTGTTTCTCTACTTTTGCCAAAAAATGAGCTGACACATAAGGTTACTTTTCAGTTATTACTTCTGTGATGTCCCAGGATTGAGATGAGTCCTACCAGCTACATACACTTCTCCAGAATCTTCATAAACAAACACAATAACCTCAGGAATTCTACCCTTTACATGGCCCCATGAACAAAAGATTCAAAGACAGGAAGACTACATTGACTCTATATCTTGTGTGTGTTTTCCACTGAGAGAGACATTTAACCTAAAAAATACCTGACTAAATGCACAGCTAAATAGTAACCACACTGGCTATACCTATGCTAGTAGATACAAATCCAACTGTACAGTTTCCACGCAGCTGAACTTTCTCATATCCAGAATAAGATGGTTGCGTCGAAAAAAGATCTATTCAGATGATCCTCAAACTAGGCCCTGTGTATCATTTGCAAAAGTGCTACCTGGAAGAGTCAAAATCTTGCCTCTATGTATGCTAACAATTGAGTAGCATGCGCAAACAAGAGACAGTATTTGGCCTATAGCCCTGGTTAGACAAGACACAGACACTGAAGCCTACAAGTGCATAAGATTACTCTCGCATTTTAACCTTTTGTTGAAATGCAGGCTGACTATGTAACCTAACAAAACTCAATGCTGATTCACGAAAAATATCAAAGTAGTTAAAACAGGACGCAAGGCTTTCTAATACCAGGTCACGTTTTGTATACAAAAGGGATAACAAGGCAAACATAGAGGAATTCATTTAGAAAAAACTGTGTTTATCTCAGGTGGCTACTTAAAATACAATACAAATTCTTCTCAAACAAGAAAAACAAGATTTAAGGTAAAACTTACGGTGTTTCCAACATGACTTTACATACACTAGCCATAGTACTGAGACAGTCCGTTGTATTTTCAATTGGTAATGTTTTGTTCTAGAAGGGTAAAAAACAGCCAATGTTCAGTAAACCATCTTGTAGAATTAAAATCAAGAATGTCTGTGTTAGACCTTTTCTCCCCCATTACCTACTTCTGATACAAAATGTGTAGTTGCATTACTGAGTGTTTTCAGCATTGGTGTGGCTTCTGCATAAAACAGGGACATCCTATTGGCCATTTCATTATTTACTTCATTCTCAATGTCTAGCTGATGAAAACATGAGAAAAAATAGTCAGTAAAACTCTTTAAAATCTTGCTGGCAGCAAGAAAAAGATACAGTACATGCTCATGCCAGCAAGCAGATTGTTGCACGAACAGTTCCACCCAAATCACTTTATCCGGACTGCTGATTAACTCTCGGTGTGAAAGAGAGAACATGACAGCTAGCAAATCAAAAGAAAAAAAAATTACCACAAATGGTATAAACGCATACTGATAAATACCTCAGTGGGAACAGCAGATCAGATTTTATTTACTTACATGCATGTTGTTTATTCTGTTGCGACTTATTGTCCGCCTATAATAACTGAAGTCATTCTGAATTGCTGGGTTTCTCATCTTTGAGGAAGCAAAACAGGAAATAATCAGTTTTGGTACAAAATACATGGAAAAAAAATCAGAATGTAGGAAAAGACTTTATTAACCTTAAGTTCATCAAAACGAAGAGTAAAATGTAAGATTTCTGCAAACTCTTTCGCTAGAGCCTGTTCCCGTTCCAGGTGCTGAGTTGGAGTATAAGGTGGGCACGTCAAGGACTCCAATAAGCTCTGCAGGGCTTTCTCTGAATAAAAATCAGAAGCACCAATTCTATTCAGTCCATATTATCACAAAGTTTTAAGCAAGTATCTAAATATACTTTGTTTGAAGAGAAGGAACGCTGCAAACATGCAGAGCCCTAATAGAATAGTAAGAAAAAGCATTTCTAAGGTGAGAAACATCAAAGACACGTGCCTCTTCAGGCTCTCTGCCATTTTATCTCCATTTTGTATCACTGAGCTCTCGTCCCTTTTTATCACCCTTTATCTGGATTCTCCATCGAAAATTCTAGATAAAGCATTTTTCGTGCATTCAGATATTCAACTCTTTCTCTTTCATCTTCCCCAATTAGCCATCAGCTCAGTATATTCTGGCATCTCTGTTACTAAAAGTGTAGTCTTAGGCAGTGATAGCAATGTAATTCAGTTCCCGCGGCTATAATTACTAGCATAACTCAAAAAGTGAAAGACTTAGTAAGCAGGATGTTGTAGAAACAATTCCCTTGCACTGGGAGCATTCCCACTTCATATGTACATTTTTGCACACTGGTTCTCTTCCAGAGGCCTAATTCAAGGAGTAATTACATAATTTTTTGGGTTTGTAGGATGACAAAGTCAGTGTAAAACATGTCCAACTTTGGATTTTCACCCTGTAAGAGCTTAATGACACCCTTCTCCCCCTGTTATCCCTGTTTTTAAAAAGTCTCAAAATATCATTGGTTTACATTCCTTTTAAAACTCTGAAGGATCCAGAGTACAAAAATTAAATTGCATTAGTACAATATGGATTGGTGAAGTGCAGAAGAGTAGCAGGCACCAGAGAAAAATTTTATACAGTTTTATCACATTCTTTGCTTGTACTCTATTTAGATAATACAGATTTATTTCAAGTGACAAACTAACAAACTAGGATAATTTTGAAATTAAATTGAGATTAAAAACATGCCTTGATAAATGTAATTGCAGTTAAATGTCTGTTGGTATCAAACAGAAAGAATAATAACCCTTTAAAAGTCTGTGGAAAAAGAAACTTCCTATTTCTATATATAAAAAATAGGCTAACAAACAGACATACTAAAACAAGGCTCACCTAATCTGAGTGAAAACTCATAAAAGCGCTTCAGCCTTACAACCAGAGGACATACTGAATTCCATGCTTTTTCTTGCAACTGGATATCATTGGGATTTTGTATTGCCTGAAATAAAAATATTACTGTAAAGAACTGTGATATAGGAATAGTAAGCAAAAGGTGTTTAGAATTTTTCTACTACATTATTTTAGAAAGTAAGTATTGTAAAACATGGAGCAATTACAAAAAAATTACATTGCATGAGAACAGGAAATTAGTAAGTCCAAAAATACCATGTTTTCCACCTTCTCTCTCCCCCTGTAAGATACAGATTTAAAATTATTCATTACAATGCACTGATGCACAGAAATAAGTTTTAACATATTCTTTGGGGAACAAAACTATTGTAGAAGCATCAAGTAAGATCTTTTGTATGACTACTGCTTACAGAAATAGACTTTTTTTTTTTTTTTAAGGTTTTGATGCTTTTGAAATCTTCAACATATTCAGGTTCTTAAGTAACCAACAGCTTACACTAACAGTAACTGCGAAGCTGATGCAGGAAAAGGTTTGGTCACCTGAGAAAAATTTTAAGTTACAGTTCAGAATTGTACTTTGGGACCAGTTTCACAGAATAAGATGCCTGTAAAGTGGATGTAAGATTATAATTTACTGTGGTTCATTTCACTTACACAGAAAAACAATTATTTTCAACTTTTTTTATAGTGTATTTCTGACATCTGAGTATTATTTATTCTGTGTCCTCAACTTTGACTTCCACCGTGAGATATATGAAACGGTGTTTTTTAAAGTAAAAAATAATTACTAATTATTAATAGTAAACCTAAAAGAAGTTCCAACAGCCATCATTTAATGATTTCACCTTCGGGTTTTATATTCAACATTACACATAATCTGTAACATATTTTCTAAATACAATTTTAATGAAGATTTTCATATCATTTCATAGAATATGCTTGGATATAGAACAGAACCAAGTTTTGCTTGATTTTGCTTCCAAAGAACTGTCATTAACTTTAACAATCATACATCTCTAATTTCTTGTCCAGCTCCTTTGTAAGCCTGAAGGTCTGCAAGCATACTTTCCGAGTCCTGTAAAACTGCACTGATCTGATTCCATACCTCCCTTTCTCCATCTGTGGGCTGTGCATCTAAGAAACAGAAAAGCAAAATGCACAAAGTCAAAAGGTAGCTGCAATACAAATGGCAAGATTACTCAGTTCTACTTAACAACATTACATCCAGCTTCACTATGTGTAACTCCATTCTGATGTGGTTTTTTAAAATATACAATTATACTGCACTGCCATTCTGCTAACATCCATGTTTCTGCTTTCTATAGCAAGGACGGAAAAAGAGTACAGTTTTTGTACTCTCTGGCTCATAATGCCTCTTCTCAAAACACAGCATTTTAAAGTGAAGCAGTATCATAAAGCAATGGTATTAGAAAATAGGATAATGCAACAGTCCTTTAGTAAAAATGTCCTTCTCTTTCATGAGCTCCACAGCTCAATTACAAAGAATTGTTCACTTTTCTTGCAGCTTGGGGATAAAATCAGGCCTTTCAGCAGATGGAGCAGTGGGATATTACGCCACTTTGACTTTCCTGGAGGCTTCTTTAACCAGGGTAATTTATTTCTCCTTTTGTAAAGCACAGGTATAGTACTGTTAAAAATAAACATTTTTCTTATGCATGTCAGAGATCATTCCT